GTACACCTATAATTCCAGTGGCTTGGGAGGCTGAGGTTAGAGGATCATGAATTTAAGGCCAGGCTGGGCAATTTAACAACACCCTGTCTCAAAATAGAAAAAAAGGGCTGGGGATGTGGCTTAATGGTAGGCCCCTTGTTCAATCCCTGTAAGGCAAAGTGGAACAAAACAAAACAAAACAAAATAGATGAAAGATATCTCTACCTTGGATGTTGGAAATCTGTTGAAGAATGGCTTTGGGAGGTGGTTAACACCATGGATTGTGGAGTCCTCACTTTACAGGGTATGGTTCTCAGCTTATCTCAGCGTCATCTTCTTCCCCAGAGTGGCCATGGTACGGTTCTTCAACTCTGCCAACATGCTGCAGGGCTTTCAGATGCACACCCGTACCCTGAGACTATTTCCTCGGCCTGTGGTAGCTTTCCAAGCTGGTTCCTTTTTAGCCTCACGTCCCAGGCAGACTCCCTTTGCTGAGAAACTGGCCAGGACTCAGGCTGTGGAGTACTTTGGAGAATGGATCCTAAACCCCACCAATTACGCCTTTCAGCGAATTCACAACAGTGAGTTCACCTGCCCTCTGTTCTGCTCCACCTTCTATCTTTGAGCTCCTGATGGCCCTTCTTTTAGCTTGTTCTTTACTAATCTTTACCTGTCCCTTCCATTCCTGGTTTTTTTTTTTTTTTTTTTTTGAGGTGGGAGGTCCCAGGGATTGAACTCAGGGGCACTGGACCACTGAGCCACATCCCCATCCCTATTTTGTATTTTATTTAGAGACAGGGTCTCACTGAGTTGCTTAGCACCTCGATTTTCCTGAGGCTGGCTTTGAACTCATGATCCTCCTGTCTTAGCCTCCTGAGCTGCTGGGATTACAGGCATGTGCCACCATGCTTGGCTCCATTCTTGTTTTTTTTTTTTTTTTTTTTTTTAAATATTTATTTTTTAGTTGTAGTCGGACACAATACCTTTATTTTATTTATTTATTTTTATGTGGTGCTAAGGATCGAACCCAGGGCCTCATACATGCTAAGCGAGCGCTTTACCTCTGAGCCACAACCCCAGCCTTCCATTCTTGTTTTGCTTTAGACTTTTTCCTTTTTTGTGTGTTTACTTGCCTTTTACCCCTTGCTCCCAACTATTCTTTTTCTTCCTTGGGTAGATATGTTTGATCCAGCCCTGATTGGTGACAAGCCAAAGTGGTATGCCCACCAGCTGCAGCCCATCCACTATCGAGTCTATGATAGCAACTCCCAGCTGGCTGAGGCACTGACTGTACCACCAGAGCGTGACTCTGACTCTGACCCCACTGATGACAGGTGAGCAGTCCCTCTTATTAGCCCTTCTCCACAGCACATAGTGGGAGGCAAAACCTCTTAGGAGTTAAGAGTCAAGTCTTCGAAGCCTGGTATTTTATTTTGGTTGATTGTTTTTCTTGGCTTCCTTATTTTATCTTATTCCTGAACTTGAGTTAAAGTGTGCTCCATTTTTGTTTTTCCAAATTCTGATTGCAGATATTTTTCCCCTATCCCTTTCTGGTTTTGTTTTTTTTTTTTTTTTTTTTTTTTTTTTAATGTCCTTCACTCTGCAGTGGCAGCGATAGTATGGATTATGATGACTCAAGCTCTTCTTACTCCTCCCTGGGTGACTTTGTCAGTGAAATGATGAAATGTGACATCAATGGTGATACTCCCAGTAAGTGTGCTTTGGTGAGATTGGCCTGCTCTAAACAGGGATTAGGCTTGGGGATGAGATGAACTATACCTGTCTCCCTTGGGTTCTGGCAGATGTGGACCCTCTGACGCATGCAGCACTTGGGGATGCCAGTGAGGTGGAGATTGATGACCTGCAGAACCAAAAGGAATCAGAGGAGCCTGGCCCAGACAGTGAGAACTCTCAGGAAAACCCCCCAGAACGCTCCAGCTCCAGCACCACTGCCTGCAGCAGCCCTAGCACTGTGGTCCATGGAGCCAGCTCTGTACGTGAGCATGAGGAGGGGTGGGTGGATGAGAACTGTGGGTGGGAGTGTGGGTCTTGTCTCTGTTAGGAATGTCATGCTTTAGCTGTGAATTTGCCTTTTCTCACACTCTTCCCATCTTCCTCTTCAGAGGCCCTATGACTTTAGAGCCTCTGAGATATAGTTTTGACCCCAGAGGGAAGTCACTGGGCTTTGTTCAGGGTGCAGCAAAGATGCCCGTGGTACAGTTTATGGGGACAGAGAACAGGGTGCCACAGAGATTTTTTCCCACACATTCTATAGGCTGGGAATGGGATAGACCTGGCCTGGCCCTGCCAGACTAAGAATAAGGGAAGGCATCACTAGGCACCATGTGACCATATTTTTAAATTTAATATGGCCCTTAGGAACCTGCTGAGTCTACAGAGATGGATGATAAGGCAGCAGTAGGGGTCTCCAAGCCCCTCCCTACCGTGCCTCCCAGCATTGGCAAATCGAACACGGACAGACGCCAGACAGAGATTGGAGAGGGGTCAGTGCGCCGGCGAACCTATGACAATCCATACTTCGAGCCCCAGTATGGCTTTCCCCCTGAGGAAGATGATGATGAGCAGGGGGAAAGTTACACTCCCCGATTCAGCCAACATGTCAATGGCAATCGGTGAGAGCCTGGGGATTCCTTCTAGATGGGTGACTGAAGGACCTCACTCCAGTGGACCCTGGGCAAGGGTTAATCAGAGAGTCTGAGAGTCTAAATGCTCTCATGGTTCTGCCATCCCTAAAGGGTGGTTCTTTGATCTAGGGGCTTAGCTGTGGGAAGGAAGCAGTGACTGCAGTGTAGTGTAAGGACCACACTCCCAAGATTAGGTACCGCTGCCTGGGGCTCATAGGTGCCGCTGTGCATTCAAGGGCTCAAAAGCTGCTGCGGCCCAACAGCTTGAAACTGGCAAGTGACTCCGAAGCAGAGTCAGACTCCCGAGCAAGCTCCCCCAACTCCACCATCTCCAACAACAGCACCGAGGGCTTCGGGGGCATCATGTCTTTTGCCAGTAAGTGCCTTAAGCTCTCTCATTGCTCTCTTCCTTTTTTTCTCTATGGTAGGGTCTAACATGGCAGATGTGTCTTAGAACTTGAGATATGGGCTGGGTTGGCATTACCAGGCTCTAATGCAGATTATTTGGGTGATACTAAATAAAGTACTTTTAGATGACATAGTAAAAATGTGGGTGCAGTGGTACAAACTTGTAATCCCAGCTACTCGGGAAGCTGGTAGGTTCTATCTAGTCCAGCCTGGGCAACTTAGCAAGTCACTTCTTCAAAATAAAGACAGTAAGGCTGGGGTTGTAGCTCAGAGGTAGAGCTGTCGCCTAGCATGCATGAGGCACTGGGTTCGATCCTCAGCACCACATTAATAAAATAATATAAAATAAAGGTATTGTGTCCACCTTAAAAAATATTAAAAATTATCTTTAAAAAATAATAAAATTTAAAAAAAAATAAAGAGAGTAGCTCAGTGGTAGAACTCTTGCCTAGCATGTGCAAGGTCCCAGGTTCAATCTCCAATACCTGGGGGGGGGAAGACTAGTCATTATTTTGTTATACCTGGAAGTTTAGTTTTATTTCAGGCAAGACAGATGAGTGGTCAACCATAAATTAAGCACTAAATTCAAAATCAGCTGGGCGAGGTAGGGCACACCTATAATGCCAGCAGCTCTGGAGGCTGAGACAGGATGACTGCGAGTTCAAAGCCAGCCTCTGCAATGGCAAGGGGATAAGCAACTCAGTGGAGATCCTGTCTCTAAATAAAATACAAAATAGGACTGGAGATGTGGCTCAGTAGTTGAGTGCCCCGAGTTCAATCCCAGATACCAGAAAAAAAAAAATTCAAAATCACATACTTACTTGTATACTTTATGGGAATATTCTGGTCAATATTGCTTCAGATATATATTTGATACCTTCTTTGCCTGGTGAGGGCCTTTTGTGAACATGCTTTGAAATCTATACAGGATTGATTTTTTTTTTTTTTTGATGGTGCTGGGATTAAACCCAGGGCCTTATGCATGTGAGACAAGCACTCTACCAACTGAGGCATTTCCCCAGCTCCGGGATTGATTTTTGATTTTTGTACTTAGAGAATTTCTAGCAAGGAGGGGTGGTATCATTTAAAGATTAGAGATAGACCTCTAGACTAAGGACTACAGAGAGTCAACAGAGAGATAGTTGTGATTTTTTTAGTTTTTTCATATGCCAGGGAGGAACTGCACCCACTTCAGACCAGAAGCATATTAACTACCAGTTTTCATGCTGATAGAAGTAGATGAGAAACACGGATATTGTGGGAGGTAGCCAGAGAAGGTTGTACTGGGTTTTGAGCATTCCTGGCAATGGCTCCTTTGTGTGCTCTAAGTTAGACTTGGTGCCTTCTAGACTGTGTAGGTTGTCTGATCTAGCACACTGGGATGCTGCCTGAAAGGAGAGAGATGAAGACGGTGCTGCAGTCACTGGAGTAGATGCTTTGATTGTTCGTCCTGCTAACTCATTGCTCTCACCCTCCCCACCCTCATAGGCAGCCTATATCGGAACCACAGTACAAGTTTCAGCCTTTCAAATCTCACACTGCCCACCAAAGGTGCCCGAGAGAAGACCACACCATTCCCCAGTTTGAAAGGTAACTACAAGTTTCTTTTGCCAAACTAGGTTACTCTGGAAGGTATGTCAGGCCTATGGGTGCTTGTCAGGAGCCCTGTGTACTGTGTATCATTGGATTTGGCTGTTGCCCTTCATATTGCTTCTCATGGCTCTCACTGCACATCATGGGCTCTCGATGGTTGTCATATGGAGACCGTATCTGTAGCTAGAAAAGGCCCTGTTACATTATTGAGGATAGTGGCAATTGTGGGATTACTGTTGCTCTTGGCAGGGGACCTTGTCAAAGGTACACAGCTAACATAGGGATCATCAGCTGCCCCTAGTCAAGAGCAGGTTCCCACTGTGTGAATTTAGAATGAACTCCATCCCAAGGAACTGGCCCACAGAAGGATGGCTGCGGAGATCCTGGCAGTGTTTATGGTGTCTAGCCTTTTACTATGGCTTCATGTCAACCTGGAGGCTGTGAGTGGGCCAGGTAGTATTAGTTGGCTTCTGGACCCCATTAAGACCTTGTTTCAGTTCACTTGTGATCTCTGGCAGTTTAAGAGGCTCTTCTGAAATTAATTTTATTTTCTTTTGTTTTCTCTGGATATTGTGCTGAAAGATTTAATCTTGATAGGAAATATAGTGAGAAGCAACTCCTTATATTAACTGACTTCTCCCAGGGTTTAAAAAGATCAGGAGTCTTTGGTGGTGATGGGAAAATGCCATATGTAGGCAAAAATGACTTCAGAGTGGTAGTGTTGAGAACTCACTAGTGCTGCTCCCGTGCATCCATACACGGCTGGGTAGATTAGAGGTGGAAAGGTGTTAGAGTTGCTGGCTTTCCATTTGATACATTTGAGGGGAAGAGCAATTGGAACTCTCATTGCATGTTGATGCTTCGTCTCATTTGCTGCACTTATCTCTCCTACCAATTTCCCATCCTCACAGTCCTGCCCCACTTCCCATGATAGCATCAGCAAGATGAGTCTCTCCCCTGTGGATGCCCACAGGCTTTCTGGACCCCTGTGCTAGATGTTTCATGAAAACCAGTGGCCCTTCTTTCATGCATGTGCCTGTTCAGCACCTCAGACTCTCCATATCATTTACCCCAGCCCTGGCTTTGAGAGTTTTCCCCTTAAGGATGGTCTTCCACAGAGCCTTGGTTGTCTCTTGGTCACTTGGCTTCCAGCTCTGATGTGCCCACTATTTAAGCTCTGGGAAAATGCTTGGATGATCTGACTTACTCTCCATCGATGGGTACAAGGGGATACGGTATTGTGGTGCACCTACTAATTGTGTATTTTGTGTCCCAGTATTTGGGCTAAATACTCTAATGGAGATTGTTACTGAAGCCGGCCCCGGGAGTGGTGAAGGTGGGTCTTGCCCGTGAGCTGTGCATGATCTTTTTTTTCCTAGCATCTTCCGTGCCTGCCTGAGGGCCATCCTCCTCATGAAGCAAGAGGCATCACATGAGTGACCTGCCTTGCCTATCCCCCATGACACCCATGCTGCCCACAGGGCATGCTGCTGGTGCATGTGGAGTGGCCTGAGTCTCCATCCCCACCTCCTTCACATTGCCATGGCTGCTTTCTGCCTGTGTGTGATGCCCTGGTGTCACCCCCACCCAGCCCTGCTGGGGAATGGGCATGGAACATGGCGACCCAGGGCTGGGCTACTGTGAGTTCTGGACTATGACAGTGATGTCTCTCATTCTGCCTTCCCTGCTTATAGGAAACAGGAGGGCATTAGTGGACCAAAAGTCATCTGTCATTAAACACAGTCCAACAGTGAAAAGAGAACCTCCATCACCCCAGGGCCGATCCAGCAATTCTAGGTAATAAACGCAGAGCTGTTTTAAAAATTCTCAGGTGGAGATAGATTCCTGTACAAAGCTTGAGGGATGCTCAGGATTGGGAAAGAAGCTCTAAGGATGGTAAATGAAATCAGTTTCCTGCCAGCACTTCTGATCCAATCCACTGCAGCAGTAACAGTTTGCAGTGTTGAAGAGGGTGAAATTGCTGAGGTGGGACTTGGCAAACCAGGTTATCTGCAGAGATGGGGGATGTGGAGGCTGATGATATTCAGAGACTTGGCTTTGCATTTTGCCCCAGAAGGCAAATATATGGTCAGGTGAAAGGGGAGATGCTCTCCCGAGAAGCTGATAACCACAAAAAGTGGTGTGTGGACCCTATAGTGAGAACCAGCAATTCCTGAAGGAGGTGGTACACAGTGTGCTGGATGGCCAGGGAGTGGGCTGGCTCAACATGAAAAAGGTACGCCGGCTGCTGGAGAGTGAGCAGCTGCGAGTCTTTGTCCTGAGCAAGCTGAACCGCACCGTGCAGTCAGAAGACGATGCTCGGCAGGACATCATCCCAGATGTGGTCAGTGTTTGGGCTAGGGGGTTGGAATTGACTGAGCAGAGGGCTGTGGCTGCCAAAGGGAATTTGCTAATTCTAGGACCTGGGTTGTCGTTGCAGGAGATCAGTCGAAAAGTGTACAAGGGAATGTTAGATCTCCTCAAGTGCACAGTCCTCAGCCTGGAGCAGTCTTATGCCCATGCAGGTCTGGGTGGCATGGCCAGCATCTTTGGCCTTCTGGAAATTGCCCAGACCCACTACTATAGTAAAGGTAGGGATCATACCTGCTGGGCAACATGCCCTCTGCAACTGCCCCACTTGTCAGAAAGAGTCAGCACATTGTTCCCATGGCAAGTTTCCCAGTGCCTCGCTGCTTCCCATCAGGTCTTGGGGTTTTATTTTCTAGTGCATGTTTCTATGTAGTGGGTATTTAGAAAAATAAGTTCTTGGCTTTTCTTTCCTTGAACTTCTTCTATTCCACATCCTCCCATATCCTGGCTTCTCCTACCTCATTTCCCTGCCTCTCTTCCCATTCGCTTCCTTTTTTGACCTCTTTCTGTATTTGATCTCTTCTCAGAACCAGACAAGCGGAAGAGAAGTCCAACAGAAAGTGTAAATACCCCAGTTGGCAAGGATCCTGGTCTGGCTGGGCGGGGGGACCCAAAGGCTATGGCACAACTGAGAGTCCCCCAGCTGGGACCTCGGGTACCAAGTGCTACAGGAAAGGGTCCTAAGGAAGTGGACACTAGAAGTTTAAAGGAAGAGAATTTTGTAGCCTCTATCGGTACGTATCATGGTGTCTTGTGTGCTGAGGGGTTCTGGCTTCTTAAATATCCCTCCGTCCTTTCTATCCATCCAGAATCCTGCCTTTCTCTTCCCCATGCTTTGCTTTCTAAAGAGGGAGATAAGTCTGTCAATTTCCAGTGCATTTCTCTATGCTTCTCTATCCCTTATGCCTTGTCTGTAGCCACCCCACTGACATCTCAGAGGAAGAACAGAGGTTTTGTTTAGAGTCCCTGTGAGGCTTAGTGCAGGGAGTCTGAGCTATACTCCTGGTCCCTCTTTTTATTTACATCTGAATTCTTCATATAGCAAAGAGACCATGTGAGTTCCTAGATGCTAGCAGGAAGCTTATAGATATGTCTTTGGGCTATAAAACTATGGTCATCTGGGTCTCTGAAGCCAATTTTCCCCCATCCAAAGCATTACACTGCCCTGGAATTCACGCCTCTGCAGCCTGTCCAGTGACTCTGTTTCCCTGGGTTCTAGACCTCAGAGGTATATATTTCTGTGTCAGCTCTTCTTTAAACCCTTCCTTTCCTGGACTTCATTAAAAGCTTTCTCCTGTTTGATAGTTTTCCATTCACTCTCTGGTATGATCATTGTTTGGCTCACTCCCTACTTCACCTTGCATCATCCAGGCTGTGTCTTTTCTGGTTCTAGGTGCCTGGGCATTATGCTTCCAGCTGATGCCTCTTTGCCACAACCGATAGTGATTGGCACTATGACTGCATAAATGGTAATGAGGAGCCGTTTCCCTTTTCAGGGAGCTCCTTTCACTAGCCAGCATAACTTTCTCCTAGAGGCATTCAGTCCTGGCTTTCTCCTGCCTGGTGTGATGTTCTAGAAAAAGTACCTACCTGCCTGCCTGTCTGGAGGTCTGGAGTTTTAGTCCTGTATCATCCACCAACTAGGAATGAGACTTTGGGCAAATAACTTCCCTCACAGGGACTCTCTCTCCTCCTTTAGGAAATGAGAAGGTCACACTAAGTAAATTCTAAAGTTCCTTCCAGGGACACAACTGTACCAATTGGTGTTGTTTCTGCTTTGCCCTACTGAGACACTTGTCTCACCATTTTGTCTTCTCTATCAGAGGCATTTCCCTCGAGGACTGGCTAAGAATGGGTCTCTTGGTAGGGCAGGCTCTAGTTCTGATGGGGAGTTTGTTTTTTGGGTAGCAAGAAGGAGGGATGCTGACTGCCTGCGTGAGTTGGCCTCTGTCCAATCCAGTGAGTCAAACAGATGGGTGCTGCTGCTTCTGAACCCCTTTGACTGCTTGAGATGATCATCTCTCTTATCTGTTGTCTGTAAGAGCTGCTGTTCTCAGCTTGTTTGGCAGAGAACGTGGTGTGATGGAAGTCAAACTGATCCTAAATTATGTGCTCTCGAGCACATGTTCCAGACTCTTTAGGATCCGTTTCTTCATGCCAAAATGAAGGAGCTCGATGAAGGACCCTTCAGCTCGAATATTGTACAGGGTTTTTGTTGGCACATTGGGGTTAGTTTTAGAAAGTTGATGTCTTTTTTCTTGAATTTGGGGGAAGGCATTGGAATCTCTTGATTCTTCCTCCCTGCCCCCAAATAAAAATACTTTGTATCTCTTGATTGGTAATCCTGTGCCTGAGACTGAAGCAACTTGGGTGGGTGGGTTTCCACTTTGTCATCTACCAGCTTCTGACTCTCTCTGTCTTTCTCTCCTGCTTGCATTGCATCTGGGGTAGAATTGTGGAACAAGCACCAGGAAGTGAAAAAGCAAAAAGCTTTGGAAAAACAGAGTAAGGAACAAATGCCCCTTCCTGTCCTTAAGTCTCCCATACCTGCCAACTTCCCAGGCCCAGTTGGGGCAGGCTCCCTTTGTCAGCCCCACCCCAAATTTACTCTTGGGGGGTATAGGACTGAAAGCAGGTAGGTGGTGTGTGACTCCGAGGTATATGGCTTGTAGACTGCTTCTTGCTCCTCCCCTTGTAGCTAGCAGTGAGGGTGTCGACTGAGTAAAATCCCTTAGACTGGTTTTCTACTGCGGCAGAGTTGGTGGGGAGAACCTTTGCTGATTGCAGAGTCCCTCATTGGCTGATAGCTCCCTCACCGTTAGGAGGCCTGTGGGCACAGTTGGCAGAGATGGTTGCTGTCCCTCTGTGTTGAGTCTGTAGCTGCCCACCTCTCCCTCTGGTGGCTTGCCTAGGCACGCTTTCAGGCTTTCTGTCATTCTGTCTTTCTGCCATACCATTGTGGGTGGGTGGGGTAGAATGGGATTTTTTTTTCTCAAATGTAGGCATTATAGGATGGGGTAGGTGAGTGTTCCTCTCTCTTTTAGCCTAACCTTTTCTGGCCCCTTTGGGTGCATCTGCGTGGGAAGCACTGAATGACCTGGGGACCTTAAATGATCTCGGCATCAATGAAGCTCTGATTCTGGGTGCCATGGAATGTGGTTTAGACGTTTGTTTGTGGAAACTTCTCTGTTTTAGGATGATTTGCTTAGAATTTTCTCAGACTGAGACGATGGCTGCAAAGTCCCTTGAGACTATGTCTAATTTGTACCTGAGGACCTCTTCCTCCAGTGATTCCTGGGGGTGGAGGGGCAGTCCCTGGAAAGGTGACTGGGACATGCTGAACAGGTCTTGGACCAGGCTGTGCTGCTGTCCCACTCCCTTCACCAGCCTTCCCCGAGCCTCTGTGTGTGAGTAACAGAAGTTTTCCCCTACTCAGGGCCCGACGTAATCAAACCTACCTTTGACCTTGGTGAAACAGAGGAGAAAAAATCACAGATCAGCGCAGATAGTGGTGTGAGCCTGACATCTGCTTCCCAGGTTTGTGGCAACCTTGTTGAAAATCGTCAAGGTTAAATTTGCTATCTCTGGCTGGGGACATAGCTCAGTTAGTAGAGTGCTTGCCTTGCATGTACAAGACCCTGGGTTCAATCCCCAGCACCACAAAAAAAAAAAAAAAAAAAAGAAAGAAAAGAAAGAAAAAAAATTTGTTATTTCACAACATATTTCTATTTGTTTGTTTATTTATTTATTTTTATGGTGCTCAGGATTGAACTCAGGGCCTCACACATGCTAGAAAAATACTCCATCACTGAGCTACACCTTCAGCCCCTATTTTAACTTCAGTTAAAAACAACAACAAAAAAGAAGCAACAACTTCAAAACAACATATCCCATTATAGAGCAATGATTTAATGAGTATACTAGATACAATATTAATATCTATTAAAGATTGTGTTTTCAAGCTAGTGTGGTGGTACACGTCTGTAATCCCAGCAGTTTAGGAGACTGAGGCAGGAGGATTGCAAGTTTGAGGCCAGCCTGGGCAACTTGGCAAGACCTTGTTTCAAAATAAAAAATAAAAAAGAACTAGAGATGTAGCTTAGTGGTAAAGCATCCTTGGGTTCAGTCCCCAATCCAAAAAAAAGATTGTGCCTTCAAAAATTTAGTGACATAGGAAAATATTTCCAAAACTAGGTATACAATATTAATTCAATTTTATTATAAGAATGTATTTAGAGGGCTGGGATTGTAGTTCAGTGGTAGAGCACTTGCCTTGCATGCATGAGGCCCTGAGTTCAATCCTCAGCATCATATTAAAAAAATAAATGAATAGATAAAATAAAGACGTTAAAAAAAAGTATTTAGAAAAAGACTAAAAGGAAATTATGAAAAACAGTGGTTAATGTGGGTGGCAGATTTGTGGCTTATTCTTATTTCCTTATTCTTTCATGTGTTTTCTGCAATGAGTATGTATTTTTTAATGTGTATTATTTCTTTTTCGTTATGTAAGTCATAAATTTTCTATCAAAGAAAAAATAAGGGGCTGGGGTTGTGGCTCAGGGGTAGAGTGTTCGCCTCGCATGTGCGAGACCATGGGTTCGATCCTCAGCACCACATAAAAATAAATAAGTGAAATAAAGGTATTGTGTCCAACTACAACTAAAAAATAAATATTTAAAGAAAAAAGAAGTTGCTCATGACCTCTCTAGAGATGATATCAGAAGGGTGGGGAGGGGAGAAGGAAGAAGGTACAGTATTTCTGAGGGAAACCGAGAGAGCAGGTAGGACACCTCTCCTACTATGTCTGTCCCTGTATCTTATTGCAGAGAACTGATCAAGACTCAGTCATCGGTGTGAGTCCACCTGTTATGATCCGCAGCTCAAGTCAGGATTCTGAAGTTAGCACCGTGGTAGGGGAACACCACACTGGCATCTTGGTGGGCGGAGTGTGGGTTCCCCCTTTGGAAAAGGGGGCTTCTTTCTCTTTGGAGGCTGCTCTTAGTCTCAGGTCAGCATGGGTCTCATGGTGGAAATAGGTACCTTTCATAGGTACACATATACAGGATTTCACAGGGCTTCTCCTCATCTTATGAAGAAAGTACTTAGAGAAGCCACCTGACTCACTTGTAAAATTTGATGCTTTCTTATTGTAGCAGAGAGCTCAAACAGTGTGACATTTCTGGGACCCTTCCCTGGGGAGTATCTCTTACTACCTCTTTTCCCTTTCCAGGTGAGTAATAGTTCTGGAGAAACGCTTGGTGCAGACAGTGATCTGAGCAGCAATGCAGGTGATGGACCAGGTGGCGAGGGCAGTGCCCACTTGGCAAGTTCCCGGGGCACTTTGTCTGATAGTGAAATTGAGACCAACTCCGCCACAAGTGCCATCTTTGTAAGCTTTGTTTACTAACAAAAGAAGACCATTTCTTTAATGGGGGAGGGAAATAGGTTAGAAAAGAATGAAAAGTTGAGATACAATCAGAAGGAAAAGATGGAACTGGGGAAGGGTATAGTTCAGTGGTAGAGCACTTGCCTTATAGTTGCAAGGCCCTAGGTTCCATCCCCAGCACCAGAAAGAAAAAAAGAAAAAAAGAAAAGGAAAATGTAAAGTAAGGTATAGATAATATTTGGCTTTAAGAACAATGTTTTTTAAGGCATTTGTCAATAATTTGACTCCAAGATCTAGACTTTTAGAACCCTGTCCTTAATCATAGGTGAGTTAAGTGTCCTTCTCAATCAGATATGAGCTTTGAATCATATGTAGTAATAATCCCCATATTTTAAAATTGATTGATTTTTAATTGATGCATTATAGTTGTACATAAAAATGGAGTTCATTGTTATGTATTCATGCATGCACATGGCATAGTCTGTGATCCTCATATTTAAAATGGACCAAGCAAAACCTCTGTGGATATCAGGAAAATTGTAACTCTCATTTAGTGCCAGTCTACATATTAACTGTGGATCAGTCCAGTTTTATTTTGGTTACTGCTCTATTTCTATATAGTACCTTCAAACAATATTTTGGGACTGGGGTTTTAGGTTAGTGGTAGAGCGCTTGCCCAGGAAGTGTGAGGCACTGGGTTTGATCCTCAGCACCACATAAAAATAAAAAAATAAAAGATATTGTACCTATCTACAACTTTAAAAAGTTATAAAAAATAGTATTTCATTACTAACATTTAAAATATTTACTCATTGATAAACATGTGTGAAGTGATTGATAAGTGCCAGATTCCATACTAAAGGAACAAAGAGGAATAAGGCATGATTCTCACTCCCAATAAATTTGTAATTCGACAGATTGCTATAAATAGTCTCTTCTGATAGGCAAGGGGAACAAAGCCTTAGGAAAAAAAGAACTTGCCCTAGGTCACCCAAAGTTCTTGGCTAACTGTAATGAAATGATTTCTTTTTAGTCTTTCCTTAGACAAATAAGGCAAGTGTATGTGTGCCTCTTTATATGCATTAAATACTCTGATACACTTGCCTCTTTGTTAGAGAAGAGAATGGGTATTCTGTAGAAGAGCTCATAGATCCTTATCTTTGGTCTGTGGGGAGAATGGAAAATAAAATTTAAAATAAATCAATTATTTAACTCTGATTACTAAGACATTCTGTAGATGTATTTCTTCTAATAGTGATTCCCAGAGTGAAGGTTAGGATAGGATTGGGAATCAGGGTCCCTCAAGTTAATGAGCCTTAACTCTGAGCTCAGGAATGTTTTAGCAAGAATATTTAAAATCCTTCCAATGTGCTTCTGTTCTGGATGTTAAAATTAATATCATGGAATATCAGTCTTCAGAAATCCATTCATTCAGCTCTGTGCTACCTTTCCTAGTCCTTCCTGAGACAAATTCTTACTTGTCCTAAGCTGGTGCAAGAGATCTATGTACAGTTGAGTTGCTGAGTGCAGTCACCTAAATTTCTTGGTTCAAAGAGCTGTTTTAACAAGAATAAATTATGCTAACTTTGTATGGCCCATTGAGCAAAGCATTGGGCTGTGAACTAGGAAACTGGCATTAAGTCATACTAATTAGATATTGCCCAATAACCTTTGATCAGTTGCTCCTTTGCTTATTCTGTCCCTGTGTTACGAAAGGGCATGGTAATACTCACCTCTTACCTAGGCAGAAATGTTTTTGTTTTGTTTTTTTTTTTTATCTTTATTTTTTAGTTTTCGGCAGGCACAACATCTTTGATTGTATGTGGTGCTGAGGATCGAACCCGGGCCGCACGCATGCCAGGCGAGCGCGCTACCACTGAGCCACATCCCCAGCCCCCAGAAATGTTTTTGATTCAATAGAAAGTCTAATACTTCGGAAGTGACCAATGAAGTTAGTGATACTTCTCAGAGGCAGTAAGAGATGTAGGATAGAAGAAATTAACATTTTTAAATCAATTACCAAATGTGTGCCAGGCACTAAGTGCTTTTCATATTTAATCCTTGTGGGATGTAGCTCAGTGGTGAAATGCATGAGGCCCTGGTTCAATCCCTAGCACTAGAAAAAAATTAAATTTATTCCTTGCTATAGTCCTATGATGAGGAAAAGCCTGTGTTCTTTCTACTGTGTTGTGCTGCTATTCACTTTCTACTAATCTCTTGAGAGAATTTGCCTGGTTATTATTATTTTTTAAGAGAAAGTTATCATACAGAGTCTTAGGAGTGAAGATAAGTCAGAATGAAAGGTTGATCACTTGATTTGAGAGGCAGTAACAGAAAGCAGGGTTATCAGATTGATTTTTAGTCAAATCCTAGAGGCAAGCAAGGCCACTGGAATTTTTGTTGCTAATGGATGGTGCCTGATGTGAGCCTTTTGGTGAGATGTTTGGTTTACCTTGTCCCTATTCACTGACCTATCACCTTGTCTCTCTAGGGTAAAGCCCACAGCCTGAAGCCAAAGGAGAAGCTGGCAGGCAGCCCAGTTCGCTCTTCTGAAGATGTAAGCCAGCGCGTCTATCTCTACGAGGGACTCCTAGGTGAGAAGTGGACTGGGAAGGCCCTTCACACTGAAAGAGAAAGCTGGGCTCAGCCAGAGGAGAGGGTAGTACTGGCCAGTAGCTGCTTGGCTCTTTGCTGATCTCAATGCTAACAATGGATAAAATTTCATTTCTGAAGCAAGCAAATTATTGGGTCTGGAACAAGCAGTAGGCGAAAACTAGATGAGATTGGATTTTGGCATTACTCAATAGCTGTCTTTCTGTGTTCCTTTCTTTACTTTCTTGCTGCCATGGTCTTTCCTGCTCACAATTGGCAGGAAGGGACAAAGGATCGATGTGGGACCAGTTAGAGGATGCTGCTATGGAGACCTTTTCTATGAGTAACCACCTTTCTTTGTGTGCTGTGTTCATGCTTCCTGCTTGGGAGGGACTGGGCCTTACTCGGTATCATCTGGGTCTGGTGGCAGGAGTATTAGATCTGGGGTAGAGGTTCATGTTTCCCATGGATTGGAATCACTCTCTTTGGTCTGGGGTTTACTCTCTTTATTTTTGTTTGGCAGCTGTATTCCTTCAATGTTAAATATTCTCTAAAAAGTTTTTATTCTACACAGGCAAAGAGCGTTCTACTTTATGGGACCAAATGCAATTCTGGGAAGATGCGTTTTTAGATGCTGTGATGTTAGAGAGAGAAGGGATGGGTATGGATCAGGGTCCCCAGGAAATGATTGACAGGTATGAAGCTTGAAAAACCTGTGGGAGTGTGCAAATCCAGCCTTCTCCCTGTTAGTTCGGTGGTCTCCTACCTGAGGGCTGACTTTTGCCTGGTCTTCTGCTTAGGTACCTGTCCCTGGGAGAACATGACCGGAAGCGCCTGGAAGATGATGAAGATCGCTTGTTAGCGACCCTTTTGCACAACCTCATCTCCTACATGTTGCTGATGAAGGTAATGTTGATTTTGCTTAGGTCTGGCTGTTACTGATGTTGGAAGGGCGAGGTTTGTTCCTATTGCCTAAATTCAGGTGTCCTTGGGAAGCTATTAAAACATTTTATGGGGAGCTGGGTGAAGTGGCGCATGCCTGTAGTCCCAGTGGCTTGGGAGACTGAGGCAGGAGGATCACGAGTTCAAAGCCAGCCTCAGCAACTTAGCAAGGCCTTAAGCAACTCAGTGAGACCCTGTCTCTAAAGAAAATACAAAATAGGGCTGGGATGTGGCTCAGTGGCCGAGTGGCCCTGAGTTCAATCCCTGGTACCCCTGATAAAAAGCATCTTACGGGGGATCTCTTTCTGATTGAAAAGTTTGATTCCTCTCTATCAGCTTGCATAGGATCTCTTTAGCCGAAACTACCAGGATGTTATGCCAATGGGTGTTGTAAAGGTAATTGACTCTTTTATAATATGTTTATTTTGAATTTTATGTGGGCTCCCCTAAGTAGTCTTAGGATGCCAGTAGAGCTCCACACATAATACAATGGATTATTTATTTATTTTTTACATAGTAGGTTCTAAAACCTTAGAAAGGATGCTCAGAATTTACTTTTCAGCAGCAGCCTGTTTTCATATAGGATTTTTCAACAACTATAAAAAGAGCTAGCCATTAGCAAAGTAATGTTTGATATGGTTGTGCTTGGATTTTATACCTGTGGAAGAAGTATGGTATCAGATGAAAAGTCCTGCTCTGATAGGGAAACATAATTTTGGGGTTCGTGAGTAGAAGAGAGTTGTTTGAGAATGAGTCCTTGAGAAAAGCTTTCCTCCTGCTCTTCCCAGCCTCCTTAGATTTGAAGGGGTCAGTTAATCAAATGCAGAGAATTTTGGGTTGCTTCACTTTCTGTTGTAAGGTTCCCTCTATTCTGTTGAATTCCAGGGGCACCAGTTGACTGGTTGGGGAAAGATGGTGATTCTTAACCTTCAGAGGATCTCAGCTACTACAGTCTCAGAATTGCCATTCTGAGTCATTATTTCTACATTATGCTCTGAGGAGCCCTTTAGGGGTGAATGTTATCTGTTGGGGATGACGGGAAGTGTCCCCTTGAAGCCTGTCCACTCTCAGAGTCACTTTTTTGCAGGAGCTAACCAGAGATAGAACCAGGACTTTTCTCCCTGGTACATTGGCAGAACACCCAGTCAAAAGCATTCTCCATGTTCAGAGATGTGTTCTTTCAGAATTCCACTTCTTTATACAAAATACATGTATGAAGATGTGAAAAAAAAAAGAATAGCGTTACCTTAGATTAGGCAGAGAGAAGTGATGGGAGGGGTAGGGAGGGGATGTGGGGATAGGAAAGATAGTAGAATGAAACAGACATTATTATTTCTGTGTGTATATATGTGACTGCATGACCAATATGATTCTGTAACCTGTACACTCAGAAAAATGAGAAATTATATCCCATCTGATTCAAATGTATGATATATCAAAGTCATTGAACTGTCATGTGTAACTAATTAAAACAAATTAAAAAAAAAAGAATCCCACTTTCTGTCAGATAGGAAGAAGCTCACTTGTACATTCTTTTGTCTCTACCTCAGTTGAAAGTAGTAGAGCAGATCCTTTATTAACATTCTATCTTGGTTTTCCAGGTGAACAAGAATGACATCCGAAAGAAGGTGCGACGTCTGATGGGAAAGTCACATATTGGACTTGTGTATAGCCAGCAAATCAACGAGGTGCTTGATCAGCTGGCGAACCTGGTGAGCATCGCTCGACCCTCCCCTGGGCTCTCCTTTTGATCACTTGCCATCCTCCCTGCTAGGCTTCTGGCCTAATGCATAGGTTTCCCCAAGGCCATTTCTTGTCTGTGTCACTGTGCAGTCCAGTTCAGCCCTAGTTTTGAGGATAAGACAGTAGTCTAGATGAGGTTTTAGCCATTATGTTCTGTACTAAGATTATATACTGAAACTACCTAGTGCAGAAGTTTCTACATGTGATCTTTGGATTCCTGAGAATCTACAAAGTAAAAACTGTTTTCATTATGATAGTAAAATTCCTGTTTCCTGGCTCTATATTTTCACTGATGCTGCAAAAGCAGTGGTGTGTAAACTGCTGACGCCTTAACACCCTGACTCCAAACTGTGCTAGCCCAGCCTCACCTCCATGATCTGTCACTTGTGAAATGTCCTTGATAAATCAACGAAAACCATTGCTTTTATTAAACCTCTAATCACTGATCATATGTCTTTAATATTCTGAGTTACAAAATGGGAAGTATACATACTACATTTCTGTTGCAAATGTAAGTACAATGAATGTTTTGAGGATAAACAGATTGAATTGCAAGATGAACTGTTAGCTTTGTTCCTGGATCACTACTTTTACTTGAAAGAATGACTAACAAACTATGGCTATTCAGAATTGAGTATTTAGCAGACATTTTCTCCAAAATTAATGGAGGTGAGCCAGTTTCAAGGAAAACACTAGATAGTACTTTTACTAATGATAAGATTCAAGCTTACAAATGAAAATGAGTATTTTGGACGATTTTTGAGCTTGAATTATCTCAATATTTTAAGAGATATTTTCTAATGAGATTGTTGATAACATTAATGAATTTTTTTTTTACATTGTGTAATGAGAAGGATTTTACAAATACAGTGTGTGATACTACAAGTTCAAGCATGGATAAAAGAAGCACTGAAAATATAATCTAGACAGGTAGATTTTAGTGTAATACTATGAAATGCTCATTGATGTGCTTTCTGGTTCTACCTAATGACTAACTTTTAAGAAACTGCTATTTTGGGGTTGGGGTTGGGGTTCAGTGGTAGCGCCCTTGCCTAGTATGCGTGAGGCACTGGGTTCGATTCTCAGCACCACATACAAATAAATAAAATAAAATAAGGATCCATCAACAAATTAAAAAAAAGAAATTGCTATTTTGAGTTCTGGTATAGTGGCAAAGAAGAATATGCATATTTATCCAAAAAGGCTATTAAAATTCTTCTCCCTTTTCCAAACTGGTATGTGTAAGGTCAGATTTTCTTCATACACCTTAACCAAAGCAACATATTATAACAGGGTGAGTGCAGAAGCAGATATGAAAATGTAGCTATTTTCTATTAAGCCAAATATTAAAGAGATTTACAAAAATGTAAAACATTGTCACTCTTCATTTTTGTTGTTGTTGGGGAAAATATATTTCTTTAAAAAATATGTTATTAGGGTTGGGGATGTAGCTCAGTGGAACAGAGCTTGCCTAGCACATCTGAGGCACTACTAGGTCCGGTCCTCAGAACACATAAAAATAAATCAATAAAATAAAGGTTTGTGTCCATCTAAAAAAAAAAAAAGATGTTATTTATATTACCACATACTTGGTAGTTATTAATTATTTATTTTTAAATGAATTAATGGGGCTGGGTGTGTAGCTCAATGATAGAATGCTTGCTTAGTATGCTCAAGGCCCTAGGTTTTATCCCCAGCACTTAATAAAGTTTATTAATTTTTTTTTTTTCAGACCAGGGATTGAACTCAGGGGCACTCAACCACTGAGCCACATGCCCAGCCCTATTTTGTATTTTATTTTAGAGACAGGGTCTCACTGAGTTGTTTAGCACCTTCCCATTGCTAAGGCTGGCTTTGACTCATTATCGTCCTGCCTTAGCCTCCTGAGCTACTGGGATTACAGGCGTGCACCACCTTACCTGGCCTAATAAACATTTTTTTTAATTCCTAGTTTTAATTTCTAGTATGGTAGATATGACTTATATAAACAAAAGCTCTTTGGAATCTTCAGTAATTTTTTGTTGTTGTTGTACTGGGGATTGAACCCAGGCATGCTATCGCACTGATCTATACCCCCAGTCACTAAGTTGCTAAGGGTCTCTCTGAGTTGCTGAGACTGGCCTCCTGCCAGTCCTCCTGCCTCAGCCTAAATTTGCTAGCACATAGCATAGAAATTCTTTCGTTTTTGCAGTATTGGGGATTGAACCCCGGGCCTGAGAGTACTAGACAAACACTCTACCACTGTACTGTATTTCCAATTTCAGTAATTTTTAAGAGGTATAGAAGTTCTGAGACCAAAAACTTCTTGAGCTGGGTGTGGTGGTGCACACCTGTAATCCTAGCCACTCGGGAGGCTGAGGCAGGAGGATCACAAATTCAAAACCAGCCTCAGGGGCTGGGGATGTGGCTCAAGAGGTAGCGCACTCGCCTGGCATGAGTGCAGCCCGGGTTCGATCCTTGGCACCACATACAAACAAAGATGTTGTGTCTGCCGAAAACTAAAAAATAAATAAATAAATATTAAAATTCTCTCTCTCTCTCTAAAAAAAAAAAAAACCAGCCTCAGCAATAGCAAGGTGGTAAGCAGTGAGACCCTGTCTCTAAATAAAATGCAAAATAGGGCTGGAGATGTCACTCAGTGATCGAGTACCTTTGAGTTCACTCCCCCGTACCCCCCCCCCCCCCCCGCTCCCCTCCAAAAAAAGTTCTTGAACACTTACTTTCCTGGTGGCCAGGTGTTGAAAGATGAGATGATATTAATTTAATTGCTGAACAGGATATTCTTGGCCCAGAGCCATGTATAAAAGGGATGTATAAATGTCCCTAAAAATCTCTCTTTCCTCAGAATGGACGTGATCTCTCTATTCGATCCAGTGGCAGCCGGCACATGAAGAAGCAGACATTTGTGGTGCATGCAGGGACAGACACAAATGGAGATATCTTTTTCATGGAGGTAGGTACTGGTTTATGCTGGGGACCCAAAGGAACATTTGAAAGACATAAGGAGCTCCTAGGACTGGTGCCAGAATAATTTTCCCATTTATCTCATTTATCTTCATAATCCAGTTATTAAATTATTGCAAATAATTAAGTTAATGTGATAGGTTTTTCCCCACCATTTCCTGTGTGTCTGTGTATTTTTTTAAATAGGTGATATAGTCACATTGTCCATGAAGTAGCATATATTGGGAGGTCTTGCACTCATCCTGGTCCTCTTCTACTCAATTCCCCACTCACCTTTCCTGTAGGTAACCGCTTTTGTTGGCTTCCTTTGTATTTTCCAGTGTTTTTTATTATGCAAACAGATCTGGGGGTAAATTCTTATTTTTCCCCTTTCTTTCAGGCAGATGCCGCATTATATTCACTGGTCTATACCAGTGTTTGTTTTTTTCATTAAATGTCATCCTGGCAGTCCTCTCTAACAGAACAAAGAAATTTCTTGTTCTTTCTATGTCCTTTCTTCCACTGTGTAATTGTGCCACAATTTATCTAGCCAGTCAGTACGTATAGATCCTTGTGTTGCGTCCAGTTTGTGTACTATGATTGACATTGTGCCTGCTTAATTTCATATATTGTAGTTGTGTCTGTAAGAATTCCTGGAAATTGGATTGCTGGACTAAAGGGACAGTACGTTTGTAAATTTGGTTGATATGACTGTTAACTACCTTTTAATATATTCTACCTGCTTGCTATTTATTTTATTGAAGAAATTGAATCATTGGCTCTGTGGAGTAGCTCACATTTTAGACTTCTTGCTGATTGCATCTCCTTGCTGCTGTTTCTCTGTATCTTGTATCTCTTACAAACTGCTAGTGCATTCTAGAGATTTGATCAGTTTTCAATTCAATATTTTGCTAGACACAGTGGCACATACCTGTAATCCCAGCAGCTCCAGAGGCTGAGGCAGGAGGATCATAAGTTCAAAACCAGCCTCAGAACTTATTGAAGCCCTGAGCAACTGAGTGAGACCCTATCTCAAAATTTAAAAATAAAATAAAAAGGGCTGGGGATATGGCTCAGTGGTTAAGCACCCCTAGGTTCAACCCCTGCTTAATTTCATACATTGCAGTTGTATCTGTAAGAGTTCCTGGAAATGGGATTGCTGGATTAAAGGGACAAACATTTGTAATTTTGGTTGGTATGATTCTTTACCTTTTAATATATTTTAAAGTTAAATAAGTAAAAATTTAAAAATTTTTAAAATCAATATTTTGGCAAGAATATTTACTAGGTAGTGCTATACAGTTACTTCCTGTGGCCTCACAGGGTCCTCTCTTATGGTTCAGATGTGGGCAGCCTAAACCAGCCACTGTAAAGTACCTCATTTGTCTCCTGGTTTTATGTATGGTATTTTTTTGCATGTAAAAATATTTTATTTTTATGTAAATTAGTTAACAGAATGCTTTTATGGCTTTGGATTTTGATTAATAATTAGTAAAAGCATTCTCCACTCCAGGATTTTCATGGAAATTGACTGTGTTTTTTTCATTTTCATGTTTTTGGTTTTTGGCAGTACTTGTGATTGAACCCAGGTTCTTCTGTCACTAAGCTACATCCTCAGCCCTTTTTATTTTATTTTGAGACAGGATCTTGCTAAGTTGCCAAGGCTGGCCTTGAATTTGGGAATCCTCCTGCCTCCTAAATTGCTGGGATTACAAGTGTGGGCCATCATGTCTGGCCAGAAAAGATCTATTTTTAGAATTAAAAACATGGAAATCCCCCTGGCCATGGCTCATGACTATAATCCCAGCAACTTTAGAGACTGAGGCAGGGGGATTCCAAGTTCAAGGCCAGCCTGGGCAACTTAACTAGACTCTGTCTCAAAGTAAAATAATAAAAAGGGCTGGGGGTATAGCTCAATGGTAGCATGCCCCTGGTTCAAGGCCCAGTACTGCAAAAATAAATTAAAAATAAAATAAAATGGGGCCTGAGGCTGTAGCTCAGTGGTAAAGCGCTTGCCCCGCATGCATGAGGCACTGAGTTCGATCCTCAGCACCACATAAAAATAAATAAAGATACTATGTGTTCATCTACAACTAAAAAATATACATTAAAAATATTTAAAGGTTTGGGTTTATGGCTCAGCGGCAGAGCGCTTGCCTAGCAGGTGGGAGGCTCTGGGTTTGATCCTCAGTACCACATAAAAATAAATAAAGATACTGTGTCCAACTAAAAAAATAAATAAATATTTTTAAAAACATTTAAAATAAATAAATTGATAAAATAAAAATAGAACTCTTGGGGCTGGGGATGTGGCTTAAGCGGTAGCACGCTTGCCTGGCATGTGTGCAGCCCAGGTTCAATCCTCAGCACCACATACAAAAACAAAGATGTTGTATCCGCTGAAAACTAAAAAATAAATATTAAAAAGTCCCCCCCCCTCTCTCTCTC